GTCTCCTGCAGCGGCTGGAGGTGGAATTCCCCGAGGGAAGGTCGAGGGGAGTCGCCTGGACCCCGCACCCCAGCCTGCGACGGGCGGCCGATGCGGGACTCGGGAGGACCAAAGGGGCTGAAGCTTCCCACGCGCGAACTCCTCCAGCGGCCTCCAGATGGGCAGGACCGCATCCTGAACACGCCTGGCTGGCACTCCTTGGATCAAAACCCAGGAAATACTAGATGAATGTAGACAGGAGGGTTTGGCTAACCGCGCGCAGGTCCCCAGCTCCTTTAATGCCACTGAGTTCCTAAGGATCCCCTGTGCCTTCAGCTGCAGCGCTGGGCAGTTACAAATGCCTCCTTTGCAATCAGGCAAAACTTCTGACTGAAAGCTATCACGTTTTACTTCTTCAAACACCGAAAAGACCGGCAAGAAACGGACTCGACACAACATAAAAAGCTTTTTAAGAAAGTCAACATGTTTCAGGTATCTTAGTTTTGCAGGCTAATACTCCTGTCTTTAAACCAAGAATGTGCATGAAGTTCATTTCATCAAACACAAGCTTATTCATGTGTGTTTGTGTGTGTAGAAATACTTTCAGATTAACCGTGAGTACATAATTCAATTATAATCAAAGGTTTCTTTGTGGTGTGGGTGTGTGTATATTTGTGTGTGTGTGTGTGTGTGTGTATGTGTGTGTGTGTATTCCCCCCTCTCCCCCACAGTTCTCTAGAGTACTAGGAACTGAAATTTCAAAATGTCAATCATACCCAAATATGTCACTTTATGTTACAGGAAACCTGTGCAGGAGTCAGGCATTCAGGAGCCTTGACACAGGATTTTCAGAGCAAACTGACTACCAAAAACCAAAAAACCAAAACCAACAGGAAAACCTGCTGTAATTTAACACTCACCAATTCTCCCAGGGTAATGCTAAAAGAACTCCTTGTATTACTTCAAACAAGATATAAAGTAACAGTGGACCCGGGGCCACTGCCAGCAGAGAGCCTTCAGGAAAAATCAGCCACGCCACTGGCTAATGGCCTTATCCGCGTCCTGTATAGACAGGGACATTAATGTGTTCAACCATCATGGCAAGTGACTAACTTAGAAAATAAATAAAGCGACATTGCTCACAAACGGTCTACTTCCCGGTAAGAACAGGAAGATGGGAAAGGCTGACTTTTTCCCAAGCTTTGGAAACAACCCTTAACCTCTAAATGCAACGCATCGCCACGTTCTTTAGAGACAATTTGGTAATCTGTACAGGGATTTGTTCTAAGAAAAATATTTTCCTATGCAGGATCTGAGAACCCCCCAGGCAATTCTTACAGAATGATGTCCTTTAATTGTGCAGTTCTATTTTGATACTTCAATTTAGTGTGAAAGAAACAACAACCCACCTCCTCCCAAGAAGACTGAGACTGTTTCTTTGAAGACATTTTGAATGAGAGGCCAGCAGGGAGCCTTGACTCCGGGCAGCGGCTTCTGCACTTGCTCATCAGCCCCTTACTGAGAAGCTGACCCTGGGGCTTTCTTGGGGTGGACACGGTCTCACCCCTCCCTTCCAGGAGGAGACTCAAGCCAGGGCAGGCAGCAGAGCCTGAGGGATGCAACCTAGGTCACATCCAGAAACTTGGGAGGGTGATGATGTCCCGTCTCCATAGTTATTCCTGGAGCTTCCCAAATGCCTCCATGGAGGGGAAGTGACAGGAGCAGGGATGGCAAAGGGCAGCACCAGGTCTGCACCCACAGCTTTGTGCCTATGGCCCCAAACAAACCTCCAACCAGAGGGAGGGTCACCTACTGAGATGGAGCTTGGATTCCTTCTCCTAGACATCCAGAGACTGGCTGAACAAGATCCTTACAACCCCATTTGGCTCTAGAACCAGGAGTTTCTGAGGAGCCAAGAATAAGGAAATTATTTGCAATTTCATTATTTTCTTTTTTTTTAATTTCCTGGAAGGGGGAGGAGAAAGCACTCCCCAAAGTGGTGTGATCACACTGAAATCCCTCCATCTGCACCCACACACATGCACCCACCATGTTTTTCAAGCCACTGGGCTGGAATTTGAACTGTAGTTGGCCCTGTGAGATCCGACTCCAACGCAGTGCTTAACCAGGCTGGCCGTATTTCTAATTTCCAAATGGCACCCGGGATGTTGGCAAATGAGTGAACCCTTCCATGGTTCTTGCGGCTAGTGCTTAGGAAGATCTCTAAGGGTGAGCTGTATCCTTCATATAATGTCCCCTGGCTTTAAACCACATGCTGGTCTATGAGTGTCTTCAACCCTTATCCCTTCTAGCCCCATCATATTAAGGGAATTGGAAGCCAAATATTTGCTGCCAGTGGCCGAACTTTTCTGCATGCCTGACTGACTGTGATGGGGGGCTTTGGGAACATCTGCAACACCAAGTAAAATCCAGCACTCAGAGCTGGTGAGGACACGGACGCAGGCCAGGGTGATCCCCTGGCACCTACAGTGGGATACAGGTTCTTACGTCATGCTCACAAAGAATTAGAGATGTGGACACAGAGGGGAGCTAGCAAGCAGAGTTTATTACAAGAAGGGAGGAAGAACAGAGTTCCCAAACAGGGAGCAGGTCCTGGAAAATGGACTGTTGAAAAGAAGCTGGTGCAGGATTTTATTATTATTATTACTATTATTATTTAAAGAATTATTTATTTAATTTCATTTGCCATCATTACTTTTTAATTTGACCAGACAGAGAGAGAAAGAGAGAAAGGAAAGGTGAGAAGGCAAGCCATCAGGTCCGGGATTTGAACCGCACGAGAGTCCAGTGCCTTTATCCACCACACCACCTGTCAACCCCCACTTTTTTTTTTTTTTTTTTTTTAAAGAGATCTTTGCCTTACAGCATGTGCACTCACTGGAGAGAAAGACAGACAGAGACAATGAGAGGGAAAGTGAGAAATCACCGCACAGGGAGGACGGCCCCGCTGAGATCCTTTCTCCTCCATTCTCCTCCCAGGATCCTGAATACATATGCACACACGTCCAGTGTGATTCTGAAGCCACCGCGTCT